TTTTACACTTAAATACAACAGAAAAATTTAGTTTTATCAACAAAACTGTGGTTTGTGAAATAAAAGTCAAGGGATAAAAAAAAAAGAACGTTGATGGTGGAGTTGGAGAAATATATTAAGTGAAAGATTATAATAACTAAGAAAAACATCAATTAAGAGAAAATAAAGAGTATATGAGATATTCAACTTTAATAGGTTGTTAAAAAAAAACAAACTCCATAGTTTTTTCACGTTGAAGTGCGTTGGGATACAACAATAAGGGCAAGAAAATAAATAAAGTAGAAATGTGATTTTTGAGAGAACAAAATAAGAAAGGGAAAGGAAGAAAAAATAAATGATGAAAGAGATCAGAAAGAGAGACCAAATAAGAGAGAGATAGGAAGAAAAAGTGAGTAAATTTATTGTTGCTATTTCTTATAAGTAAGGAAGAATTAATATTAGCATTTTAAATTTTAATATTGATGTCATTTTAATAATTACACTTTGTTGGTGAATAAATATTTAATTAGTTAAATTATGGCTTTTTTTCCTCTTCTTTTATAGGGTAAGAGATAAGGCTAAAAAAATTTGTTTTAATTTTGAAAGAGTGAAATAAGCCATTACTTTTTCTTTCTATGATACTCTTTTTTTACCCATAAATTTCAAATTACATTTTTGTATTTTGAAATTTTAATTTGATTGTTCATTTGGACTTAACATATTTTTGTTATGTTATGTTAAGTTGTTTTTTTATTTCTTTTTGTTTCTTAGTTTGGACTTTACAATGTTATTTTGTGGTGTTAGTTACATTTTTTTTTTTTGGTGAGAAATCTATTATATTACTCCCTAGTATCTTGTTAATTAAAATTTAAAAGAATTTAGAGGTAGAGTTTCTACAAAGCATTTAGGGGAATATATCGAGAGATAGATGAAAAGGAGAGTCATTTTTATTTGATTGGGTGCAGCACATGTGGAAAGGTGGTTCCCACTAGTTAACATATGTGAAAAAAATTTGTTAAACAAATGCATTAATTGCTAACCGTTTAGGAATTAACGGTCAGCAGGACAGTAACATGAACGGCATCCAAATAAGGACGACAATGAACCAAAAACGAGGAGTAGAGGGACAACATTTGGCTCTTTGGTGGAGTAGAGGGATGACAATGAACAAATCCTTAGTTGAGGGACAATAATGAATAAAATTTCAAAGTACAAGGACGGCAATTTGCTTTAAACCGTACCAAAATTCAAACTTACTTAGAGGCACCTTTTTTCATTTGGGAGGGGGAGGGGGTGCTTGTTTTAATTCTCTGCTTTAGTGCTTTTATTTATTTATTTATTTATTTTTTGGTTTTCTGCCTGGTTTTTGGGGCTTTGCCTTGACTAATTCGGATTGATCCGGATCGCGCACTTGAAAATGATGGATAAGTTTTCTAACAAAAATTGTTGTGTACACAAGGTCTCAAACTTGAAATCTTATTTAAACCGAAACAAGTCGCTTATCACTTGATTCAATCCCTCGTTGATTTTAGCGCTTTTATTTTGTTCCATCCCAAGTACCCAAAAGTACAGGCAAACATGCATGTAGCACTTCACACTAATAGAACATGCAGGTCCAATTTGGCTAAGAGACTTGCCCCATGTGTTGATGTCCAGTAGGATCCAACCCCTACCTAGACACCTTAGCCGTACTCTTATTATATTTCTCATTGACTAACCCAAATATATGTTTGTAATTTGTTATTAATTATAAATAAAATTATTTGACAAAAATACCTCTTCTTTTAGTCTCTCTCTCTCTTTCTTTATTAAGATAGTAGTACATAATACACCTAATAGAGAATTTTTAATTTTAACTGCATTAAATTATAAAATATAAAATTTTTAATTAAAAAAATGCATTTTTATATTTAGAGAATTTATCTTAATTTGATGGTGTAGATTATGCAATTTGATTAGTACTCACCCCAAAAAAAAAAAAAAAATCCTTTTATAAACAATAGGGAGGGCAGTTTTCTTTTTTCTTCTATGTATAAGAATTTATATTTTACGATTGAGACTGTATATTAAAATTATAGTTTAATTTAAAATTTTATTAAAATATTTTTAATAAAATTATTTTTTATATTATTTTATTAAAATATTTTAATAAATTTATATGTTGTATTACACGTTTAGCTTTTAATGTGTAATCTATCTTATAAAATAATCTTTTTGTTATATATGTAAATGAGATTCAAATTTTTCAAGACAAATTAAATGTTAAAAATATAGTTTGTCTTATGAATTTACATATATATTCTTAATAAAATAGTATAAAAATAATTTTATTAAAAATATTTAAATAACTTTATAAAATGACTTATTTTTTTAATATACAGTTTATCTTATAAAATACTTTTTTTATATAAATACTAAAAGAATTTGTTATTTTATAATTTAAAATAATTTAAATTATAAAACAATATTTGATGCTAAAATAATACACTTTTTAAAACTATAACTATAAAAAATATATATAATCCATACAGGACATATTAGAATTCACTTTTTCTGTATATATATGTTACGTAAAGCAGTTTAATTAACCTTAAACTAGTATTCGACAAAAAGCTTTATCATAACTGTAAATCCACCTTATATATATGTATATATATATATATATATTTTTTTTTTGTGTACTAATTTTTGATATTTAAGAATTACATTGGATCCGATTAATTCAGAATTAAATCGTGTTGGACTCTATTTGAAAGAAGTTTTTTTAATACATATTTTTTTATTCACAAAATTTAAATTTAAAATTTTATTTTAAAAAAATCAAATTCGTTCCATATGAATCATCAGTTTGTTTTGTTGGTGTAATCCACGTTATATTGCCCAGAATAATTAACAATATGCTATCTGCCTTAACCCGGATCAGCTCTCTCCACTACCCTACGTTCATTGTCAAGCTGAGGGAATTTCCATACCCAGGCTCCTTCTTTTATCCTTGCAATACAAACACAGACCACTTGGGAAGCCAGTCATTAATTAATAGGCAATATTTAGTTTTAAAAAGGTGTTGTGCCCCACCGGTG